CAGTCCGAGTTTGCCGCTGCACAAGCCGTGGAGCTCCCAGTAGGAGCGCACTAGCTGTGCTGGGTTAATGGGGGTGAGGGTCGGGAAGCCCAGCACCTTTCAGAACAACTTAAGAAAAGAATTTGTCTCCTTTTGCCCCAGGCTCCCCGTGGCACTCAAACGGAGCTTGTGATAAATCGAAGTGTATTTATTAATAATGAGCGGGGGCAGCGTGCCCGTGATTTGAAAATAGGTGCGCCAAATAAAAATGTGCTTTCCTCTGACATCGGAAAAGCTTAAGTAAATGGAGAGCAGGCTGATCTATTATGATTAAAAAGCGGGGGCTGAGAGCCAGCGTAGCGGTAATGAAAAAGCCCTTTTAGGGAAGCAAGACCCTGTTCTGCCCATTCATATATTCCTCCACCCCGCCCCATAAGAAACAGGGAGGGGGGAAGTTGGATGGGAGAGAGGAAAAGGCAGCAGCAGTCCAGGATAGCAGAGCTGGACTTTAATGAGAGCTGGAGTTATTACCGGAATGAGTTATGATATTTAATCATGCTACATGATGTCCAACAGCGCAAGGTTCATAATTCTTGGCTCTGAATGTGGCTTGGGACTGTCTGCGACCACCTGCAGTATGCAAATTGATCGTGGCCTTACAAACCCTCTGTACCTTGGCCCCGGTCGTTCCCTGCCAAGCCAGCCTGGTCTGCAGCATTGGCCCGCTCCCGCAGAGCTGGAAACAGGGTCTTTCATGTTCTCAAACACGTATCTGTAGTTCCTGGTAAAAACTGAACCGTAGCTGTTGCAGATAGCCGGAATCGCCTACTGCCAGCTTTTCTCTGCGGTGTGTGGTGTTGTCAGGTGTGTTATTTATCTTGAAGAAGGCTGCATTGGTCTGTTTTTTCAGCAGCCTTTGGTTTAATTGGTGCTTTTGGAGAATCCTGTTAACTTCAGTGATGAAACAAGCTCTGTTTGAGTAAAACTTCGGCACATATTTAAACGTTTTAGTGCATACATACTGACATGAATGTCTTGCTGACGTAGGATTTGGATGAGGACAGGATTTGGCCTTTGGAAGAGATAAATTACCAAGTAACTTCAGTCTTCTCCTTGTGCCTTTTAATTTTGTTCCAGCTTAGCTGTCCTGAAGTGGCACAGTAGTCAACCTACGTTTAAGAAAAGATTCCTTCCCACCACCACCCCGAACCTTAGGAGACGAGCACCTTTCCAAGACACTCTCTCACTGAGCTTTGGGCGTTGGGGTTATTTTGAGACTTTTTGCTTCTCGGATGACTCCTAAAGTATTTTGAGCAGACCTCAAGGCAATGCAATCAAACATACTCAAATTTGGCCCACATATGCTTCTACCTGCTGTTTCCTGAGCTGCTGTTTCGGCTCTGTTACGCTGACTGGAAAATACCGTCTGGCAGGGCCTGGAGAGGGGCCTTCGCTGCCGTCAAAGCAGAAAATAGCAGTGGGCTGTGTGGGTACTTTCAGACAGGCAAAGTCAACAAGCTGGAGAGGGGGTTCTTTCCTAAATGCTGCTTGTTAGTGATTTTAATGCTTTCCTGTAACAGTAGTAGGGCAGCTTTACCCACGTGGAAAGGCAGCTTCTCTCACACGGCCCTTCCCTTCTCAACCCTATGTTTAGACAGGTTATTTAGCTCCTCTACCTGAGGTAGTTAATAATGGTGGCTGGTGTTGCTCTAATGTCTGTGTAAGTCTCTGGCAATGTGTTGTACAAGAGGATGTAGTGCATTTTGCGTATAAATTTGGGGAGTTGCTTGTTTGGGTCTGTGCCGTGCTGAGGCGGCCATGACGTCCCCGGGCTGGGGCTGGGACCTCACCTCGCCTCTGGCCCACAGAGCCTTTGCCGACTCTAAAAAAGTAATAACCTTTTCAAAGGGAGAGGAATATTAAGTTTTATAGTAAAGCTCAATCAGGGAACATGGTCAGGAGGAATTTCTGCAGCTTGAACAAAAACACCCGGAGAAAATCACTAGAAATCAAACAGCCAAGCCAGAAGCAACTTTGGGAAGGAAGCTTTTGACCAGTTTGCTAATACCCAGGTCTGCAGAGAGTGCTTGTGAAACCAATGCATCCATTTAGCAGAACAACTTGTCCTCCTAGCTGGGTCCTGCATGTGGCTCATTAGGGTAATTACTGATGAATTAAGGCAGCTTGGCTCAGCACTCCGGCTGCGGGTGTGCGGGCTCCCCTGCTGGCAGGCAGCAGGTGTAAATGAACAAGATCTGTCAAAAAGGCTGATGACCCTCTTAATTCACAGCAGCAAACTGGGGACAGAGGTAGTGCAGCAAGTTTAATAATTGATATTTACTTGGAAAGGTTAATGGCAGCAGTGATGCTTCTAATTTGCTTGCCTGTGCAAGACCTCGTCAGGTCAAATTGTCTCAATTTGTTACCATGGGTGTAGGTGTAGTTTTCCTTTAATGAAATTTGGAGAAAAGAAACAGGTGGTGTTGGGAGCCAACTGTAACTCAAGAAAAACAGCAAAAGGTTGGAGTCTGGTAACAGGTTGGGTGAGCCTGTGCTAACTTTAAACAGCTGGCAGTTTAGTCCTTCTGAATAATTCTGGTGAACATTTGCGCTTAGGAAGGTGAAAGGATTTGAAACAGTGTAATTTATTTTTCTTTCAGTTGCAGCTGTCTAGGAGTTGTTTAGGTCAAAAGTGTGATACTTTTGACAGGCTTTGATGTGTTCCTAGGTGGGAGCGGTAAGGTTATGGATCAGAAATCAGAAAGCTGCAGAATTCAATGGGTATTTCTGTACTGTATTTAGGGACATTGTAATTCTGTCCTGTAATAGTTAAGTGGTTCCTATTTCAGGGAGAAACAAAGCACCTACTCTGTCTGGAGGCTTTGAAGTTGGCAGGTCAGATACTTTACATCCAAGAGTTTCAGAAGAGCTGGCTGATGACTGGGAACCAGTGGAGTTGGGTTTTGAGTAAGTGTAGGAAGATCCAGATGATGGAAGAAACCTGGTGTGCCATTGTTTGTGAAAGGCTGTAATTAATTGGTAATTAATTACATTAATTAATGGTAATACCACAAGTGGTGGTATTGCCATTTGTCCTATTGGCTTGGCATCAATCCTAGGCAAGATAACGGGATGGCTGAAATCATAATTGTTTAATAAAGACCTAAAAAAGAACCAAATAAGCAAATGGCAATAATTTGATGTATTTAGAAAAAAAAATCTTATCAAATTTACTTAATTATTTGTGGGATTAAACATTTGATTGATAATGGCCACTGTATTGGTGTAGTATAGTTAGATTTGTGTGCTTGATGCTGTTGGCCTTTTTATTAAGGAAACAGACGATGTGGATTCAACATGATGAATTTCAAGTGGATTATTTCCTGCCTTTATACCTGATGCTGATAGTTGCGAATGCAGGCTCGCTGTTGGTTGGAAGTGCTTCTAGCAGATCCCAGCAGGGATCACCTCTCGTTGCTGTGGTGTTTGAACATTTTGACGTAGGAGCGAAGATGAAAAATCGGTCTTGATAAAAGTTTGCAGCTGGGCAACATATTGGAAAGGTGGTTTACAATGAATGAGACAGGACACTGTTGCTGAGAGCGGTGGTTGTGTGACAAGGTGGCTGTGAGTAAACTTGTATGTCTAACACTTTGATGTGGCTGAGTCTACAGGTCTTATCCTGAGGAAGAAAGTATATTGATGAGGTGTAAGGTGGCAGAAAGGCATGCAGAGTAAGGACTTTAATCAGAAATGTACCATTCTGATTGAACATGAGCATGATACTTCCTCTGTATTCTTCTATATAAGCCTATACAGGGCTGTATACTCCAGACCGGATGAGTACTGGAGCTCGTTCTGCATATAGTATCTTGAATATTGTATTAAAATATTAATAGACTGTGGGGCACTTAGCTGGGAGCGATATCAAACATCCATGGGAGTGTAGTGATCAGCGTGCTCCTGGGGCTCAGGTTTCAGTGCCCGCATTGTGGCAGCGTGCCCACCGAACACGGTTCCTCGTGCCGCAGTGGCAGGGCTGCTTGAACACGCTGGGGTTATATCAGAGCACCATGAGCAAACCCTGTTAGCTACTGAGACTGCAATGAAATAGGACAGAAAGAAACAAGGGGATTTTATTGCCATTAAAAGTACCAATTTGTACAAGCCGACATTTTAAATAGCGTAATTTAAATGGAACCAAACTGATATGAATAGAACCTATTAATAAATTAAACACTTCTTTCCACCCAATATTTCACAAGGGAATTAGCAGAATAATTTGTTAGTAAATGAGCCCAGGAATGAAGCTGTGAATGACATATCTATCCTATCCTTCTCCTCCCCCTGTAACACTCTTTGCAGATGTAAGCGGAAAGTTGCTGTGATTTCAAACATTGGCACCTCTCGCTTATGTACAAACAGAAGCACAACTTCAAGTGAAGGAAGAAGGATGATTTAGTGGTTAGAGAACCAGCCCTGGCTGTAAGAGTTAATCATGCTCCATTTCAAATTTTGTTTCAGGCCAGTATCTCTCACGGTGTTTAGGCACCTGGCTGTCATGCTGGTACCGACCTCTCAGTGCAGTCACTGGGGGTGGCCCCGAGGCATGTCTCTGGACTAGGAACCAGAGACCTGGCTGTTGGGTCAGCAGTGGCCCGACAGCAAGTGGCAGTACTTAAACACCAGCGTCACAGCTGAGGTTTGCTGGTAGCAAAGAGTAAAGGGGGTTTGTCTGTCCGCTTCCCTCTCGTGTCGGGCCCTAGGACTTTGGCACAGCCTTGCCTGCTTCCAGGAGTGCTAAAAGTACTCCTTCCCTCGCATGTTAGTGAAAGGGAATATTGGATACACGTGGTCAAGCACAACTTCAGAGAAGCCCCATGCATTCAAAAGCATTCTCTCCACGGTGTCATGGGCTTAGGAGTGAAACATTGACTAAACCACTGTCGGCAACCTCGGGAACAGGTGGCAGAGCAGTGCTTGAAAATCTCCTTTTTCCCCCCTCCTTCTTCTCCCTCTAGATGAAGGTCCCTACAAGCAGAAGTGGCAGAAATAGCGAGGAAGACAGCATCAGGGAGGCCACAAGCTCTCAGCGGAGCAGCTCAAGGGACCGTCTCAGTGATGTAAGTACCATTCAGGAGAAAGCATCGCTTCATTGCAGCAATTCCCGCTGCTGACATGGCTTTTCATAAATCTTGCTGAACAAATGTTGGCATCCAGAGGTCACTGTGTAATAACTTTTTTTTATGTCATGATTGAGTGTTATGGCATAAGTGGTTGAGCTGCCTTGCAAACACTATAATCATGGTGCAAATAATATGATAAGCGAAAGATCAGAGATGGGAAAACAAAATGGAATTGTTATTCCTCGGGGAAAAATGGCTTGATGTTTTCTTTTGTTTTCTCAAAGAAGTTGTGTTAAAAAGCTTTTTACAGTATCTTTGGGTTTAGCTACTGCACATAATCATGTAGTTTGGGTGCAAAGTCAGTTTATCTAATTTTATGCTTCCTGCCTCCAAGATACGAAAGGTTTTTGGGGGAAAGCTGTCTTTCTCTCAGGAAATTCGACGGTACGTTGAGTGAAATGTTATGATAAAACAAAAGCAAACGGTGCCTTAGTGTGTAAACACACAAATGGGCTTTTGAGTCACCAAGAAATCAATGGCAGTGCTGGGATAATTTTATATGAAGGCTTTTTGTGTTAGCAATTAGCATTTCGCCTTCATTAAAACATGATTTTTTACTAATTAGGACCTTTCCCGTTAGGAGAGATTTAAATGAAGAACAATAATCAAACGCTGGCACGAGCATGTCTGAAATATTAAATTTGCCATTTCAATGGCAAGCCACAGAAATCCCAGAGCGAGTGGTTTTCATGTTGAGTTCTATTAATGTAAAATATGCTTCATAACTAAAACCTGTCACAGAAAACGGCTCACACCAGCTAAATTCAATTGGACAGTTAATTTAGCTTTAAAATTGAAAACACTACCTCTGCTTCAGGATGCAAAAGGAAGGGGGGGGAAGCCTTTGATAAGTGTGATGTATTTGCTATTAGGGCTTTCAGAGACCATTCTGCAGGAGGAGAAGGAAGAAAAAGGGGAAAAAATGGCTCCCGCAAATGTGTTTAAAAGCTGAAAGTATTTATTAAAAATGTCAGCAGAAAAGTGCTTTTGGCAGATTAAAGCGGGATTCAGCTTGACAGCTCTGACAGGGAAATGTGACGGGGGAAAATTCTCTCTACATGTTTGGAGTGTGCATGGGGCGCTGTAAACAGCCGACGCAGTGGGAGGAAGAGAAAAATAACGTGTCCTGTGATCTGCTTCCAGGACTGCAAACCCACGCGCCGTGGTGGGGAAAGTCGGCGAGGGGGGGGGCCTTTGGACAAAACCCCTTGCTGCGGGGCTTCTTTGACTGTGTTATTAGTCAATAATGATCGTAATTTTATGTATACATATATTTATGCAATTCTCTCCTTCCCCTCCCCTTGGCCACTCTTGACAGGTATGTGAGCAGGGGTGCCTGGTAGCATTGCTGTACCATAACGTGGGGCCGCGGGAGAGGAATAGCATATTCAGACTTAGTGATTAGCTTAGGTCAAAGCGTTAAGTGGTCTTGGAGACTTTTCTTGTTAAGCCAATGCACTTCCAGTTTTTTCTCCTCCTTTCCCTTTGCCCACAAAGTTGCAGGCTGAGCCTGCAGGAATCGAGTCTGAGTGCCTAATTCCTGCAAAATCTTCAAAGCTAGTTCAGCAGCCAGTGAAATTCAGTGGGAAATATGCACTCCGTTCTTTTTTAGTCAACGGGGACATTTGGGCAGTGCCTGAAGGCCGGGGCTACACTTCAGAGCTTTGCTGAAGCTGCTCTCGTGACCTGGTGACCCATTGCAAATGAGAATTTTTCAAATTAGTAATTAAACAGTTTGAAAAGTAAGGTTCATGAATCACAGAATGCTCTTCGTTCATTATTTGATGAGTGCAATTTAGCTTTAATTACGTATAACGCTTCCTCGCCTACTAGTAAATGTTCTGCAGTCTATTTAGTGACTGTCAGAAAGTCTTAGAAAGTCCCGCGAGTGCAATCGGATGGTTTTCCCTATTTGTGTGCAAAGGAATAAGGTGGCAGACTTTTTCTTTTTGTAGAGAAGGAGCAGGGAAGGGGAGAGAAGACGACGACATGCTACGGAGTGTGGATTCCTGCAGGATTTTCTGTCTAGCCGTGCCTGGTCCCTGTATAGCTCTGAAGCTCTACTTCCCAGCGCACTGCTTAAATAGATGGTGTGCAGCTGAACTGATGCAACCCCTTACGTGTGGCACTGAGGATTAAAAAGCCACAGGGCAGTAAGGACATAAAGGGAAGGCAGGGACGGTTTTTCCTTGTGGTTAGCAGTTACGAATAGAGGCTCTAGCACACGGCTGTGCTGAGGTGGCCGCCTGTCCTTGCAGACGGGTGCTCTGCAGCAGGATGCACCTGGGCTGTTTCTCACTCTCCCCTGAGTAGCTCTCCTGCTGTTTCTCGGTGCATTTGGCCTTCAGGACTGTTTTTCATGCTGTCTTTCCCTCCCATCTCTTTCCCCATTAACTTGGGTGAACAATGGAGTAAATGAGGCGGGAGGTGGTAGGTTTGGCTGCTGTACGGCAGCACACAGCAGGTGTGGTGGGAAATATGTGTATGAAAGTGTCGGCTATAGCGTTCAGTGTTGCCACCTTAGGAGCACTGGAGTCCTCCCTCCGGCTTTGTTGTCGGTCTCCATTTAGAAGGTGCTATTACGAATCGCTTAGCTCCTCTGTGTGATTTGTTTCTTGGGGTGACTTGTTCAATGGGATGCCAGCAAGTTGTTCTTTATTTACATTAAGGCATGTCATTAGTCTCTAATGGACCATGAAGTCAAGAGGTGGCCTGGTCTGTCGTGAAATAATTGCACTCTGAAGAAAACTGAAGCAAATGATTGATTATGTCTTGCACACACACACACACACACACAAACAACAAAACCCAGAGCGTTTTGCTGCTTCTTTACCACAATGAAACTTCCATGGGGAGAGAGTGCTACAACTTCATACTAAGACAGCAATTGTCTGTCTTGTATAGTACATCTTTCCAGACATTACACTGAGTGCCATTTATTATGGGTCATTGGGGAAAAAATGCTTATTATGATCTAGTGAAATCATCTCTGGCTGCAGAGGTTTGATTTGTTGAGGCTGCTCTCTTCTTTGGGATGATGAAACTTCAGAGCAGAAAAACAGGGACGTTTTAGCCCAGGTTTACACAGCAGATGGTGTGGTGTGGGGGAGAGGGGATGGGAATTTGCCACTTGTTTATGTTACTGGTGTTGATGTAAAATTCCCTTAAAATCTACTACAGAGCTGACATCCCTTTTACACATGTACTCCCAGGTCTTCTACAACCAACACAGAGTCAACAGCCTTTTTCCAAAATGGGATTTTCCTCTGCTGTCTTTCATAGTGAGGTAATTGGAAGTTGCCAGAGTATTAAGAGCCAGATAAGCCATATTGCTATTTTGTTGTGTTGACCCAAGTAAAAGCGGAAGGCTTGGGCATTTTGTTTTGGATTTTCCCCATGTTCCATAATTGTCCTAATCTTTTCTGATGTCCTGAACAGTCCAAAAATCCACACAGAGCCTTGTATAATGGCTTTAAAAAAAGGTTTTTATCTTTTTCTTGACCCATCAGCTTAAGAACTGCCTGCTTTTTAATGGATTTTCTCCCTCAATAAATTGAATGGATCGTCCCTCATTATCATTTAAATAGAAGCCTCACTCCCTGTGAACATGGAAAATTTGAATGTGGTAGTAGAGCTGTGATAATTTGAAATATTCGGAAGGTGGGGGCAAGGAGGGTGAGCAGGCGGCAGAGTGCAGAATTGCTGAATGTAATTGTCATGGATTCTCAATTTTGTTGCCACAAGATGGGAAAATAGACTAATAATTGTCTTCCAACCCTAGTAGAATAGTTGCCCTAGTTAGCTGAAGCTAACACTCTAATTGTCATGGGGGCACAGAGATGAATGAGGATGTATGCAGGGCACAGCCGGGGCTAAATTGAGTGATATACTAAGGCAAAGAGCAAATTGGCAATTATTGGCCCAGCTGAAAAGGTTGGCAGGTGTGCTGCTTTCTCACGAGCCCTTAGGGGGAAATTGGAAATATAAAATATCGACCATAAATACGCACTGATTAGGAAATATGTTGCAAGAGGTGCTGGCCACTTAAGAGTCAAAACTCTCCTTTTCAAGGGATTGGCTTCAGCTGTGCGTAGAACCAGCAAGTGCTGCTACTAAGTTGTTCAGAGCTTTTTCCTCTCATCCCCCATCCCCCAGGCTATCTTTTCTAATTTTCCATCATCCTGTCCTCATATGTTTGTTTGTTTTTCTTTAAACATAATAAACGAAAAGCAGTCTTTTAGGAAATGCAGAGATTTTCCGCTCTCAAAATGTTCTTTGATAAGTGTTTAGCATATTGTATAGACTAGATATAAAATTCTCTCTCTGGTAGATGAATACAAAATAACTTCTGTGATTTCTAATTCAAACAGTTCACTGTGATCTGCTTTTCTTTGTGTGCCATCACAGGCACTCTGTCCCCCTTCCCTCCTACTTTCTGTACAATGCTTCCCCTCCTGGGGCAAAGGAATTAAAGCAGCAGCAGGGTACAAAGCTGCAGGTCTGTTACGAGTGCCTCAGGCTGAAGTACCTTGCCAGAAGCATGATCAAATGAGCCTCTGAATTGAGAAATGGACCACAGTCGCACCACAGGTCCGTATTTATCCACTTCGCAAACTTTGGCACATGTGGGATGCCTGGTCTTGGCTCTGGGCAGAGTGGCAGTGGGACAGCAGAGCCTGGCGTATCTCAGGCCAGGAACACACCAGTGCGATAGTCAGGGATGTTACTGAGTGTGTTGAAGGAGTTTTTTGAAAGGCCTGGGATGGCAAGATGTGGACTGCAAACTCTTTGTGTCACATGCTGTCTGTTGTTCTGTATGTATAACACACTAGAATCTGATCCCCAGTTTGAAGAGTGGAATAAGAGCATCATAGAGCTTAGTGAAATAAAGGTAGCAACAGAGTAGTTTTAAGACCCCTTCCTCAAACCATGTGTCT